AACTAATAATATTAATTTAGTATTCTATATTAATTCTTTTAGTATTAATTTGATTTCAATAGTACTAAAATTGTATCAATAGAACTTATATAAGATACTAAATCGATACTATTAATATCAATTTGGTATTTCATATTAATTCTTTTAGTATTGATTTGATATCAATAGTATCGAAAATTATCATTCTTATTATACTTATTTATTCTTAGTATTTGTATTATTAGAATAATTAATATTCTTAAAACTAATAATATTTTACTATTAGAAAAGTAATATTTGAATAATATCAATTGAGAGCTTTTAGAATATATAATTGTTATAGAGCTAGCTCTATTATTACTAATAATATAACTTGAATAATATAAATCTACTATTAATATTAATATTAAATAATAATAATTTTCATATTATAATAAAGTTGATATAATATAAAATTATTAAAAGATTTGTGATTTAGTAATAAATTATTTCATTTAAATTTCATTAAAAAAAAAAGTTAAGTTTATTATTTTATATTATTCAATATTATTTAAAAAAAAGCAAAAAAAAGAAAAAAAAAGAGTTCAAAATGCCTAGAGTTTTATTTAATTAATTAATGAAACCTAAGGCTAGCTTTTTTTTCAATATCAATATTATCAATATCGGAGGTGCCGTAGGAGCCAATGGTGCCAAAACGGTGCCGGTGATGCTGTTGGTACCGTTTCGGCACCGAATGATTTTTTGCGGGTGCGTCGTCGGCGCCGTAATTTGGCAAGTATCACAAAACCGCCGAACCGTTTTTCGTGCCGGTGGCCGAAAAGTAGGTAAAATATTTTGCGGATGAAGTATACAATATCTCACGTCCACACTTTTCATTCTTCTATCGATATGGCTTTTAAGAATGTTGATTACTCTCTTTACCTCGTGACAGACTCTACACCTAATATACTTGGGAATAAAGATCTAGTCGAGGTGGTAGAGGCCGCAATCCGCGGTGGTGTTACTATTGTGCAATATCGAGACAAATTCAGCGACACAGCTGCTCTCGTTGCTACTGCCAGGAAATTACATGCCGTCACACAAAGATACAAAGTACCTCTTCTAATCAATGATCGAATTGATGTCGCTCTTGCGGTTGCATGTGAGGGTGTGCATATTGGTCAGGATGATATGGGTAGGTCTCTCGCCATAAATAAGGTGTCGATTTCTTCTTTTCATGTTCTAACTCTATTTTAGATCTGAAGACGGCGAGGATACTGTTGGGTAAGGATGCAATCATCGGAGTGACAGTATCCAGTATCCAGGAAGCTTTGACAGCATCCGAAGCTGGGGCAGATTATCTGGGAATTGGCACTATGTTCGCCACGCCAACGTAAGCATGGCATGACGGTACAAATTCGGGATGCAGGATTGAAAGCGATGAAGAGATCAAGTGATGCTCTTTTTGCGATAAAATATTACACTACACAATCTTCAGTCGTTAATAAGCCTTTTACTTAACACATTGATATCGTCTCTAACGATGTCAAAATAGGAAAACTAACACCAAGGATGCCATCGGAACTGCCGGAACGAAGAAAATCCTTGATTCTTTGTATAAATCAGGAAGCCAAGTGCGAACTGTTTCAATAGGAGGCATCAACTCATCAAATCTGCAGCGTGTCCTGTATCAGTCGGCAGCAGCGGGAAAGCAGCTTGACGGTGTAGCTATCGTCAGTGCCATCATAGCAGCACCAGATGCCGAAAAAGCTGCCAGCGAGCTTGCCGAGCTCATATGGACCCCGGCCCCGTTTGTTTTAGCACATCTACCATTTGATCAGACGAAGAAAGATCCTCGCGAGCTTTTATTACAGGTTCCAGGTGTCATAGGAGAAGTTGCCAGGAAAACACCTTTATCTCACAATATGACAAATCTTGTGGTACAAAATTTCGCCGCCAACGTTGCTCTCGCCATTGGTGCCTCACCTATCATGGCAAACTATGGGGAAGAGGCTGCAGATCTCGCAAAGTTGGGAGGTGGTTTGGTCATAAACATGGGAACGGTTACTCCAGAAGGTATACAAAATTACTCACAAGCTCTAAGGGCATACAACAAGGAAGGAGGACCAGTTGTACTCGATCCAGTCGGTTGTGGGGCCACTGCTGTGAGAAGGTCAGCAGTCAAGACACTTCTAGCTGATGGTTATTTCGACGTCATCAAAGGAAACGAGGGAGAAATCAGAACCGTATCTGGATCACTTATTCAGCAACGAGGCGTGGACAGTGGTGCGAGTACATTAAGTCCCATGGAGAAAGCAATACTCGTGCGTGATTTAGCAACGAGAGAGCGGAATGTAGTCCTCATGACTGGAGCAATTGATATTTTGAGTGATGGAGAACGAACTCTTGCGGTTTCTAATGGGCATGAAATCCTGGGTAGGATTACGGGAAGTGGCTGCGTTTTAGGCACCATCATCTCAGCAACGTTGGCCGTCAATCGTGGAGATAAGCTTCTGGCAGTACTATCGGCATTGCTTCACTTTGAGATCGCAGCTGAAATGGCAGCTGTGCGAGACGATGTGAGAGGTCCGGGTACATTTGTTCCGGCACTGATTGATGAATTATATGCCCTACAAATGGCAAACTCTCAGGGTGATTTTCGATGGTTAGAAAATGCGAGAGTTGAAGTCATAGTATAGAAATATTCTACAATCATACTATAACCACCGAAATGTATACCTGCATAATAAATCTCCAGGTGATACTTTCAATTGACTTTTTTCGAGCCATACCCGAAAACCCCCTTCATCCGGAACGGGACGTTATTCGGCACGCGAACGCACTCCGATAGACTAGCTCCACAACCTCGGCTTACACACCCCACTACCCCAGGAAACATATACAAGTAAGTACCGCTAACAAGTAAACAAAATAAACGCAAATATCTTTCTACATATTACCAAAATGACAGAACATGTTGAAAAACGCCTACGTAAGTATCCCTACCTCTCCATAACTCCCACGTACTTACCCAACACAGATCGACCCGTCCTCTTGTTCGTCATCCACCCCTCAAACTCAATTTATCCCTCCCTTTCCTCCCCTCCCCTCTACACCCCTCCATACACTAACCCCTTACCCCCACCCACAGTATCTGCGACATGCAAGAGAAATTCCGCAAAGCAATATGGGAATACGAGAAAATGTACTTCTAACCCTCTCTTCCCTCTCCTCCTCTCCTCCTCTCCTCCCTACCCTATACATCGTACCCCATACCCCATCCAATACATCATACAAACATCCATCACTAACCTTCCCCTTCCCTACCTCAGCATCGCTACCACGCAAAAGATGATCCAAGCCAGCGATATCCTCCGCATCTCCATCTATGCCACGACGCAGAACCGCGCGCGATTAGGCGAGACGTGCGCTGAGCTTCATATTCCTAATGCCGTGGAGCATGCGGATAAGACGGCTTTTAGTATGGTGTGTGTATTATCTCATCTCATCTCATTTTCATCTAATAATATATCTATCTCATATATTCATCACCATCCGTACATGAATATTTGTACAAATTAGAAGATAAAGCTCTGATATCAAATTTCCTCTTCCATGATACGCGCGGATGCGCTCCATCTTCCCACGATTACCGCTAATCCAACCTAGTGGATCCCCTCCATATCCCAACACTTCGACCGCGCCACCCCCGCCTCCGTCATCCTCGTTGGTATCGAATCGCACATCTGCATTACGCAAACTACCTTAGACTTGCTCGCCCATGGCCACCAGGTAAGTTCATTTCCCAACTAATTAATCACTAGTGAACCAACCAGCCATCCAGTAAAATCAAGAACCAAAATACTAACACACGACGCAACATAGGTATACGTACTAGCCGACGGCATAAGCAGCTGTAACCCACAAGAAATTCCTATAGCGCTCGCGCGACTGCGTGCTGCCGGGGCCGTGGTGACGACTTCCGAGTCAATTATGTATGAGATGATGGGGGATGCGAGGTATGTTTTTTTCTTTAATTCTTTCTCTCTGTTTATAATATATAATGTACAAGTCACAGTCAAGCTAATGACTTATTTTCAGTATTCCTGAGTAAGTAATTTGACATGTTCATTGCCCTATCGATCGCATGCTGGATTTATTAACGTTCCTTTTTTGTAGGTTTAAAGCAATTGCTACTCTAGTGAAGGAATCTTCGGCGAGTACGAAGGATGTGATGAGTACCCTTCTTAGTAAGATGTGAAAGGATTATCTTTGTAAGGATTGCAAAATTTAAGACCCGTGGTTGAAAATATGATATATTTTATTTACGCTATCTGAACGTTAAGCGGTCTACTACATCAAAACCACTCTCCATCATTTGCTCGGAATGACGTGCTTTTTCAATCACATATCAGGAGTCTGTGGAGTGGCCGAAGCCTTTGGCTTGCTGGGGTTCATCCATGCAAAAGCTGATGCACCCCCTACTGGATTTGAGGATCTTGGAATAGTTGTAATCACTTTAGCGCTCTTCGGTTCCTCCAAACTTACTCCCTTTGGTTCCCAACGAAGCTGTTGTTTGTCAGTCCCATTAGGTTGATCCAGTCGTTTGAGGTCCCCCATTGATCGCGAAGGCGCCGCTTCATACGCTGCACCCGTCCTTGTACTCGACGATGAACGGAGTGCAGCTATAGCCGATGGCGATGAAATGGATTTTGATGATTTCAGGACCTTCATACTTCGACCTCCACGGACCGTTCTTTGATGACCGCTTGTAGAATCACCATTGTAATCGGATGTTAAAGGGGTACTGCCTTGCCGCCATGAGCCCCGAGCTCCTATCGGTGCTTCACGTTTGGGAGTTCCAATGATATCGGTGGAATCGACCTTGTCCGCAGCGGTGACGCTTTGATCCGATTTGTATAGCTTTTCTGAGTCTGATATATTGTCGTTGCCCTTTATTGAAACATCAGGTTCAGACGCAGGGGCATTGCTAAGAACAGGCGAGGAAGATATAGCAGCAGGATTAGTTTGAGACTTTGTAAGGCCTTGGGATTGGATATCTGAGTTCGTTGGATTGACATGATCACCACGCGAGCCTTCTACTACATTGCTTGTGCCCGTAGATTCGATTTTGGATCGTTGTTCGTTGGGAGTAAAAGGACGAGCCGTAGCTTTAAGTTCATTCTTCTCAGGCGGGATATTGGCGATACACAAGTGCTTGAAGAAAAGTTCATTCTCGGGCCGAACGAATGGTACTGACAGTTTGTTGCGATTTTCGCCGAAGAGTGTCATAAGATTCTGCGAGAAGAGTATATCTGCGTTGTGCGCACGCAGGGTATCACTACCAAGAAATACGCGTATAGACTTCTTGAGATCAGAAGCGGATCGTTGGTTCATTCCAACTACCTCGAAATCAGCTGTAAGAGTGGGCAATTGAGGGCCGGGACTATTCGATCTGGAGGGTGACTGCGTTATAATTGCCTCCGGGAGATACACGGGTAGCCTGATAACGTAGCGTCCCTTTGTATGATCCTTTTGCATTCGATCTGTCAAGCCAAGTTCTTTCACAAGCGAATAGTCAAGAACGGATTTTTGAGAGCCTGTACATATGTCGGCATAGAGAAGTGCGCTGTGGGAAAAATTGACCGTAAGCCAACATCTAATAATAGAAGGCACTGATCCCAGTATGAATAGACCTGGAGGAGGATCCGGTATTTCCAAGGGCGAATCGTCGTCTGGGTCGCCGATCATAAAATTAGTATCCAAACCTAGACTACTTGTGCGTCCAGACGGAACAGAATGGGTTGAATGAACAGAGTGACCGGCAGAACTATGCCTTCCATCAGACTTATGCGATGAAGAGCGCTCTGTCATAGGATGACTTCCAAACCCACTAGTCGGACGAATGAGACCAGGTTCCCCAGATGACCTCGAAGCTTGCGCCCAATGCGATCCCTGCAGAGCGCTTACATCGAAACGTACGCTGTTTGCTCTGGAAGCACCTCTACGCACTGGTTCATCGTCATTATCCAGATGAAGATTCCCAAGTAGGTTTTGCTCTTCTTGATCGTCGAAACCATCGAAAATGTCTGTAGAAGAGTTGTGAACGGGACCTATAATTCACTATATTAGTGCCCTAACAAGCTTGATAAGGATGAAGCTTATCACATACCATGCTGGGGGGTACCGCTCAGAATGCCAGGAAACGGTGAGTTTGTACCCCAGACAGATTTGAGGGCGGCATCATCCGCTTGGCGCTTTTCCAGTCTTATGAGGCGGTCGGAATGGTTGGTTTGTACGGCTTGTACATGCTTCACGTCCATTTGAACATGATATAGTTCTTCTCGAGAAGCCGGGAACTGTGAATCCATTCCAACCCCTTCCTTGTAACCCCCAGAGAAGTTTGCCTTTCAAGATTTACACCTGATGGCATAGGAGTAGTATTAAAATGAAATCGACCAAGGAAGATTGCTGCGACAGTGCCGTATGATTGTCCCAGACTTATTGTAATTTTGTCGTTCGGGAAGGGGCGTGGCGGATGTGGTTTTCAATCGGATGTAGGTATATTATGAAACGCTTAGCACCTAGGTAATCTTTGAAATTCCGGAGAAAATACTAGTTCCTCAAGTCTTATGCTCAATGCCTGCGAACTACACAGCGGCACTTTGTGAGCGTCCCCCACGGCATCGGCCTACAACTTGGAATCGTTAGGATTCTCTCCCACCTTCTTTGGTCGATGTATGCTTAATCCCGAAGTTTGTAATATATACTTGTCGAACGAAATCGGCTCTGGAAGATGAAGGAATATTCTTTGAATGTTGTTGTGCCCAGCTGTTCTTTGTGAGTTGTATCAAATGAGGAATGTAATATGGCGAACCGTTTCGTTACGAGTCTATAAGCTCTCTTGGAGAATTATCAGGGTATGCGAAAGATATTGTATGGGTTAACTTGTAAAAGATCGAGTGATTTACAGCATCTGCCTCCGCTTATTTGCCTTTTCGCAGGTAGCTTGTAATTTGTCGTTTGTTTGCCTTTGAGAAGTTTGGAGTCACAGTGGGGGGGCCCAAGTAGGTAGGCAGTAAGTATGATTATACCGGTAATTGAAAATTGTGATAACTGTGTCACGAATAATAGGTTGGAGTTTGTCTTTGAAGACGTTCGATTGAAAGTTTTTGTGTTGATTATTTTGACGTTGATATTCTGTGTTAGTCAATTTCAGTTTGGATGAAAGATGTCATTACTCTGGCGGTAGGGGGCTTAATTTGATTGTAGTGAACCCTTTAATTGCAAGGATAACCTGATTGGCATAAGTTTAAGCCAAAGCCTGTTTTATACCCAAAACATACTCTTTTTAATATTAGATATAAACTCTTTTGATTGATATTATCTTAATAAAGTTTCAAGTCGATGAAATGTAATTATAAAAGTTTCAAAAAAATAAAACAAAATATTTTATAAAAAATATCTGAGATTCTATATAGATTTACTAGAAAATATCAAAAAGTATTATCAAAATCATTTAATTTGAATATAAAAATTATATTTATATATTTTTTGAATTATAAACATTAATATTACTATAGCAACTAATAATATTGAATTTATAAATATTTAAAATCTATAAGATTAATATAATTTATCTAGTAGTAAACATCTAATCTAGATTATAATACTCTATGATAACTCTATTAGAATTCTATTTATATAAATAAATACTTGAGCTTTTAAATAATATATTCTTAGAATCTTATATATTTCAAATACTTAGTTGATTTATAATAATTAAATAAAACCTAATAATCAATTCGTTTAAACTTTATTCAGCTTACTATTTAAATAGAGAACTATATCTTTATAATAATAATTATTACTATAATATATACTCTTATCTTTATTTATACTAAAATATTATAAAGATTGAAAGTTATGAATTAGTTAACGATCTTTCTGCTGGCAAGCTAATTGTTCGAATGAATTATCTACAATTCTTTTGATTAGTATTGTCACCGCGTAGAGACTAATCCCCTTCCGGGGACTAGCCGGAAAAGCGTGGATGTGAAAGGATACTCCGTATCCTTTCATATCCTTTGTTCTTTATTAGTTAGTTCGTACTGAAATCTATAAAGAACTACCCTCATACCACCATGGCAGTGGTATGAGTTCAGTTCTGTACAAACTATACCCTAACTGTAGTACTGATACTATCCGGCCTATTCCCTGCTTGTGATCCCTCACAAGTATAAATTCATTCTATTTGTGATTTAGTATCGGATTGTTCTCCAGTTGCTAAATGACTCTCAATAAATGCGTGGACAGGTGTTACTTAGGTAAATATCTCTGCTCAACCTCTTTCTCTTTCAACTCGGGAATCTTATAAGTCGTCTGTCTATGCATGCCAGTGGAAATGATATGAGATGCTACTTCTATGGTTGTGAAGAATTCATCTATACGCTCTCTAGATGGCCTAACCTTACATCCCGTCAACGACTAAACTTAGGAGCTACTGTCCACTATGATAATATTAGCACTGTTTGCGTTATCTTACCGAGAAAATAATCCCGTGTAACATGAGTTTGGGGACTTTATAAAGGGAATCAGGAAATATATACTCACATGTGGAAACACCCAGCTTGGGCTATCAAAGGGTTCTTTTTTCCACTCGGTTCCCACCATGGGTATCACTTTACTTAAGAATATTTTGTATCCTTCGCTAGAAAGATGAAGTCCGTCTGTGAGAAGCGTCCTCATAGATGTATCATCTCCGGCACGTTTGGTGCCCATCGTTTTAACATCAATCGTGTTATCTGAACTTATATGTACTGCTTTATCCATCATAGCCCTCCAAAGATCGACTAATACCACATTTCGATCTTTCCACTCTGTGGCAATTTCTCTGACTGCAGCTGCATATTTGGCAGTATTCTCCTGTAGTCTCGTGAGAGAGGAGTAGCCCTTTTGACGGTCTCCCTTCTCAAGTTGAATCTCGTTGATTGGTGGTGGTGTGACCAACAAGATTTTAGGATATTGGGCTATGGAACTCCAGTGATCGAGAAGGGCTTCGATATTTTTCTTGTAGTTCTCTAGTGAAACGTATTGACCCGTAGGACCATCCGGGAGGCACGCATCATTTGCACCGAAAAGAATGAGCTTGCAACACACGCTGTTAGTATGAATCCAACCGATATTAAGTCAAACCGACTCTAATAATGGTGAAGTTTTCCAAGGAACTCCGACAAGAGGCGAGTCCTGCAAGGTACTTAGTTGACGTACCAAGTAGGAAACTTTAGCGGAAGTTGGGTCCGGAACGAGATGCTGATGGATCTCAAGAGCATTGTCGGTATTGTACCCGCTTAAACCATGATTTATGACCTGCAATCGCCTCGAACAATCTAGATTGGAGTTAACAACAGACAGGATGATTTGCAGCGAACTCACGTTCTTCAAGACCCGCAGTGAATGAAAAGCCATCTCGCAAATAGCTTGAGAATTCAACAATGGAATCGCCCAATAGAATAAATTGGGGATATCTTTTAGAAGCCATATCAAATATGATCACAGCAGCGGAAATGCAGCAATGGGAAGCCGGGAAAAAGTATATAGGGAAATGATATTCAGTTAATCGTAAGAATTAGATGCAACCTCGAAACCTGATCCTTTTCAGGATGTTGATATATTCCTAAGTAGTCTTTAGTAGTAGTTTGCCTGTCATGGCACTCGTAGTTGAGAGAATTGGAAGAGAGTTGAGACAGTTACCAATGGGTGGGGTTACTGTATAAACCTTACTTGTATTAATACCAGGATTCTTCTCCACAGATTATCTTGAGGTCGTATCGCAATTCTTCCTATTCAAGAGAACCTCCTCGCAGAATTATTAATAAATACCACGTGGTGAGTGGTAACCATGAGATATACTCCGTACAGTATTATATCCCGGTAATGTTACACTCGTACATGTCGATGACTTTTCCGATGTCATGCGCTACATCCCCGCTACATAGAAGTACGATCCGTTCCTTTCACTGCTTGTTCTAAGTCTAAATCTTCCAGTCTACTTGTAATTGGTTGCACTATGTTTCACAACGTCTTCTGACTTCTGCCTTCTGCCTCCTTTCAAGAAAGAGAAAGAGGATGATGTTTATCGAGCTTAGCTTATCTGTTATCGAGGCTATTGATCAAGCGCGTTAACCGTATCATTTTCCAATTTACTTTGATTAATGATCAAGATGTCTTTGATATCAAGATTTCCGTTTTGCTTGCATTATATTCAATATTCTTCGTCAGATGTTTTTGTTTTGTAGAGTTTAATCCTGTGTGATTGGTTATTCACGTTCATTACCAAAATAAACTGCAGGCAAGTCCGACATTTCAATAATCCAAGGGTTCAACTAGCCTCGAGGACCCTTGTTTCTCCTGCACGGCACACATCAAGATCCGCAGTTGCTCCAATTCAATTTCCATTTCCATTTTCATTTCAATAATAACCTAACACCAACACCAACATCTCAACTTCCTAATCGATTTCTGAGAAAAGTCCAGTCATCAAGTAGTGTGGGTGACTATTTCAGAGGCGATCTTTTGTACAGCATTAATCTCTCATTTATCAATTTCCTCATTCCCCTTCGCATTTGCATCTCGCGTCTCCCACTTCTGCATGCGAGTTATCGAATTTCTGCCGTTGGTGCACCCTGTCGTCATTGAAAAACGTTACGTTCATCTTCGTGCGATGTGTTAGGTGACACACCGAGACATTTCCGATATGTCACCTTCGGGCAAGAACTATATTGGCAACGATCCTACAATGTCGTCGAATCTCCTACCACAATCGAGAGAGTCGTCAGCTCCACCCTCACCTACAGCGATGAGAAATCTTCAAAGATCAATTAGTAACCTTTCCGACGAGCGAACCCCTCTTCTTCAAAATGCCGGGCGCTCTCGCATACGCCTCGGTGGAGCCGCAGAAACCACCCGGCCATATCTACCAAGCCATCACAGTTTCTCTGGCAAGTCTTCAGTCTTATCGAAACTTCACAAGCTATGGGCCATGGGCTATGGGCTAATTATATACCACTAATAGGTAGTTTACGAGGTAGTCGACATCATAGCCGTGCCGGATCTTGGGGCCAGCGTTTAGTCACGGCCTTGACCTCGGAAAGACATGGACCCAAGGACCAGATGCGAGAATCTAAAAGCATATCGACTTCGGACGACAGAGTTTGGTATGATCAGTTTACATCAACAGATTGGGTTCACGACAGTATTGCGGATGCATATCGAGTGAAGGGTCTTCGAAGTAGAAAAGATATTCGGGGTCGGGTCAAGGCATTCTTCGATGGCACACAAGGTTGGATACTCAGTGCCCTAGTTGGATTCGTCACAGCCACGATAGCATATGTCGTTGATGTTTCGGAGACTCCTATTTTTGATTGGAAAGATGGCTATTGCCATAATGGGTTCTTTATAAGTGAGAAGGTTTGTGAAATTTTCCTCGTTTTCGCTCAGCATTCGATCTGATCCCTAAACTGGCTTATAACAGCTTGCAAGTCAGACTCGACTACATTGAGTAGCCCATTAGACTTTCTTCTCTGCATCGTTAGATAATAAGTATGCTGACTACAGAAATAGAGATGCTGCCCTGATGGAAATCATTGCGATGCTTGGAAATCTTGGTCCAATTATGTCGAAATCCCATTTCTTAGTGAGGAGGTAACCGAATTCTTTATTTACGTTGTACTTGTGGTCGCTTTCGCAACAGCGGCATGCCTTTTGACCCTAACTACTAAAACGGTTGTACCATCGACATATCAACTATCTACACTCGATGAGAATCTCGGTGCTCTTAGTCGACATGATTCTCAGGCGCCAGTCGATGGTAATGCAAGTCCGAAGAATACAGTAGAGTCTGAGGCGAACGCTCCCATGATTTATTACTCTGCTGCCGGCAGTGGAGTAGCCGAAGTTCGCGTAATACTTAGCGGGTTTGTTTTGCATGGGTTTCTTGGCTTCAAGACCCTTCTCATCAAAACCCTGGCCCTGATATTGAGTGTAGCATCCGGACTGAGTTTGGGAAAGGAGGGTCCTTTTGTACACATTGCCACTTGTGTTGGTAATATTGCATGCCGCCTATTCTCCAAATACGATGATAATGACGGAAAACGCAGAGAGGTATTGTCTGCAGCCGCAGCTGCGGGTGTAGCGGTAGCTTTCGGTGCTCCTATAGGCGGTGTTCTCTTCTCTTTGGAAGAAGTGGCGTACTTCTTCCCAGCTAAAACACTATTTCGAACTTTCTTCTGCTGCATCACTGCTGCGCTGACGTTGAAATTTCTCAATCCTTATGGCACCAGCAAGGTGGTCATGTTCGAAGTTCGCTACTTAACGGACTGGGAATTCTTCGAGCTTGCCGCTTTCATCATGGTTGGTGTACTCGGTGGCATAACCGGTGCAACATTCATTAAGGCGTCTAGGTCCTGGGCCCAGTCTTTTCGGAAGATTGAGATTGTAAAAAAGTGGCCGCTGTTTGAGGTCATGCTGGTTGCTCTGCTTACAGGTCTCGTTGGTTATTGGAACCCATATACCAAGATTCCAGTTGCCAAATTGTTATTTAATCTAGCTAGTCCTTGCGATCCTGATAAGTCGGACAACATGGGTCTCTGCCCCAACAACATGGATGAGATTTTCCCAATCATTGGACAATTAGCTGTTGCATTTTGCATCAAGGGGCTTCTGACTATTATTACATTTGGCATTGTAAGTTCGTTCTGTCCTCGGCTGTGATGATGATTATTGTTCCATCTGCCACCCAATCATTAACGAGAGTATGACCGTCCACTAATACAGTACCACAGAAAGTTCCCGCAGGTATATACGTCCCGTCAATGGTTGTAGGCGGCCTACTTGGCCGGATTATCGGTCATCTGGTACAGTGGCTTGTGTTAAGATTTCCAGACGCTTCCATCTTTGGGAGTTGCGCCGCTCACGAGAGCGGAACGTCATGTATTACTCCAGGAGTTTATGCTCTCATCGCTGCTGGTTCTACAATGTGTGGTGTAACGAGATTGTCTGTGACTTTAGCAGTCATTCTCTTTGAACTAACGGGCAGTCTTGACTATGTTTTGCCCTTTTCACTAGCGGTTTTGGTCTCGAAATGGACTGCAGATTTCATGGAACCTCTCAGCATATATGTAAGGGTCAAATACAATAAGTGTGAAAAGAAAACAAGCTAACCTCATCAGGATTTGTTGACTAATCTTAATGCCTACCCTTTCCTTAACAACAAGCACAAACCAGTCTTTACCTCTGATCTTGGAGATATTGTCCCCCGAGTCCGGAGAGAAAGAGTTATTGACATCTCCGTCTCTCCCATGATTCCTGCTAGCAGTTTACGCCAGAAGTTGGAAATCTTGCATCAGGCCGGTGAGGTTGATGGTGGATTACCCATCATCAGGGACGATGTTCTTGTTGGTCTGATACCAGCGCCTGATTTAGAATTTGCTCTCGACAATCTTGATAATGAGCCAGGTACTTTGTGCCTCATGGCGACCATCAGCAACTATGATGAATCTGATGAAGAAGAGCATATTGATCCTACCGACTTTACACCTTACATTGACCCTGTAAGCTACACTACACCTTCCATCTATAGATCACTACTGATGATAAACAAATAGGCACCAGTGGCCTTAGATATCCGTTCCCCAATGGATTTGGTGTACGAATGTTTTGTGAAACTTGGCTTGAGATATGTTTGTGTGTTGAAAGACGGCCGCTATGCCGGCTTGGTGAGACTCATAAATCCTTTCCTACATTTAGCTTGTAAATGACTAATCAAATTACAGACTCACAAGAAAACCTTTGTAAAGTACATACGAGAGTTGGAAGAAAGGGATGAACATATTTGATTTTATTGCTGTATTGTATTGTGTTTTAGCGTCAGGAATAGGAATATGCATCAACTGGGCGGCATCTATCTTGGAGGAGTTTGAATATCCAATACCCTGGTGTACTTTATAGAGCATTGGCATTGACATTGGCGTTTTATTTTTATTTTGTAGGCTGATCATAGAGTCAACCATACATATCAGACATAAACTTTATCATCATCATTTCATCATCTGGAATTATCTGCTCTAAGCTCAGCCATGAGTCCTCCCTTGTCTCTTTTCTTCAAGTCTTCTTGCAACCTCTTTGTGATATATGCAGATATATCCTTGACCTTCTCCAGCGTGATATTCGTACATTGTAACAACTCCAAAGCATCGACTGCTATACCACCAAGCTTGGCAATTTGACAAACTTCTCCATGTCGATTCATACTGATTGTACAGCTACCCTCTCTTAGTTGTTCTTCCAACAATGTAGTGTCAACCAATCTAGCCTGCTCTTCACCCTTTCCATAGAACGAAAATGTTACGCAGAGTGGGAAATGCAAAAGGCTCAAAGGCACAGGTTCTCGCTCCGCTAATGTGTAGACAGTCACCGTTTCGCCCTCTGTGCTCGTATCTGGTTTCCTGAAGTGCTGTAATGCCGCTATTATGGCAATACATGATGCATCTATAAGATTTCCGTCATGCGATAGAATGTGAACATCTGCACGGACGGACCAGCATTTCTGTCCAGCAATGAGACAAAGGGATTCAGTATCAAGAGCTGCAGAACGGCGTAAGGTTTTCTCGAGCAGGCGAGAGAGAAGTACTTCCTGTTCAGTAGGTCGGTTGGTTTCGAAAGCAGGAGACGCCATAGGTGAGAGTTCCGTTGTAATGGTGAAGATGCCATCGAAGAGACGATCTGGGAATGGACTCGTTACTTCTGCTGTGATGTTGACGAGAACTCTATAGAAATACCATTATTAACAACGTCCCTTGACAATTACATGACGTAATGTGTATTAGGACAAGCACCTAATGCGCGCATGTCCAGGAATCATATCACCTACCTCGTCTTTCCCAACCTCACATCTGCAACGCCATATTCATCTCCAAACTCTAACTCTAGAGCTCGGAATTGATCGAAGCCTCTTCCATCAACTCTTAAGTTTTCTTTGAGAGCCTTCGAAAAGAACTGCTTCTCATTGATAGAAGGTTCTACTTCTCGAGGCATCCCGAATTATTTATTGACGGTGAAAATACACACTCAATTGGCGTTGTTGCGCGCGCACCTTCTTGTTCCCCAAGATTTCTTTTTGCCAGCCTGGAAGGCGGTGAGATCTATTCAGACTAGTGCAGCCTTATTTATATTCAAGTTGGTTGTGGTCTATCGCGCCCAGCCTTCACTTATCTTTTATCAACATCAATTTACACAACCAACACAATGACGACTGGTAAGATTTGTTATTCGGGAAATTTTTTGAGTAAATTATACTAACGGCTCTTCAGCACATAGACCTACTTTCGATCCCGTGAGTAGAACCCCGTTGAACTTTACGAACATTTCTGATGGAAAATAGGCCAGGGGAAAAGAAGCACAACGAGGACCGGCGTATCATCAAAGATTACTTCCAGCTCATACCCAACTGAAATTTCGGTACGAAACTTCGTCATGTTCGTTTAGAGGAATACGGGATTGATTGAGTTATAGGAAGCCAGGACAAGGCGGCGATGCGACCACCGAAGTTAGAGACCTTCGAGCAGAACTACTTCAAGCCGAGGCAGCACATTTTGCTAAGACGACTGGAGGATCGAGCACCGCAATCGAGGATGCAAAATCTGTTACAAACACATCAAAGAGGCAGCTTGAGAATGGCTCGGCAGAGGACGATGAAGAGGACCCAGAAGCAAAGCGGCGGCGCATTCTAGAAGAAACAAGAGATATAGATGCCGATTCGGATGACGCTGGAGAGAGTGACAGTAGCGATGATGACAGGTTCGTCGAACATTTACACATAGTATTGATAAAGAGGCTCACACAGTGTCAGCGATGACGATGAAGACGAGACCGCGGAGCTTCAACGGGAACTCGAAAAGATTAAGCGCGAACGTGCCGAGAAAAGAGAAGAAGAGGTGAGATTAAGCATTTTGGAATACTAGAGTCGCCACTAATCTTGATGCCCTCATAGGAACGAGAAAGATTGGCGGTAGAAGATGCGGAACGAGAGCATGATATTGCTCTTGGCAACCCACTGCTAAACGTCAAAACCGACTTCAATGTTAAAAGACGGTACGTCTGGCCGTTTATTAATTCTGCAGAGATGGTTCACTAACACAAATTGTCAGATGGGACGATGATGTTATTTTCAAGAATCAAGCTCGTGGAACTGAAGATAAAGGCAAGAAGGAGTTTGTCAACGTATGTCATCCCGACCATTACACAATTCTTCATCAGGAGACTGACCGGATTCTAGGACTTACTACGTTCCGATTTCCATAAAAGATTTATGAGGTATGTTACGATATATTGGATCTCAAACTAGCGGAATCTACAGCAATTCATACTATGGGAAGACTAACGTGTTGTAGCAAATACGTGAGATAAACGATTACATCACTATGTAGGGATGCGACGGGTAATATTAATTATCTAGGCGAGACTCGGATATGTACTTTAAGGGGGTTGGCGTTCCGGTTGCAAATGATTGGTGCATCTTAAAAGAAACCTCATACGGGAGTACGAGTTCATTCTAGGAAACACTAAAAGACAAGGCAATAAAGAATTTTGCAATTAGCTCTTATACTTCTCCTAGAACAACAAAGAGAGTTGTTATATCAGACTAGAACTTACAGATATAGCCACATGAGAAAAGCTTGTTTTGTGACTTTAGTGACATACTGGTACTTTGTGGCTGGTTAAGTCGAATTTTCTCCACAATTCAATCTCTGAGATCTCCCCCATGTTTTGGTTTTGAATTATTTAATTGGTCAAACCGATATGTACCTTTTGTAACCAGCACAGCCACAGTGTAACCTGTTTTTGTTCCTGCTCTGGTGATCATGACGCTTTTTGACTTCTTGAGTATTTTTCAACGTCAGAGTAAGTCAACCAAAGTGAAAGACTTCTTGTTTTCTTGGTATTGTTATTGCTGCATTCGGAAGGCAACATGTGGACTGTTAGATCTAACCCTTGTTTGTGTGCCAACTTTGCCAAGCTCCCTTGGGGTACATCTTTGCTATCTTTCAAACTACCCTTCCATTAGATTATTTCATAACTCATTACATCATCTACTAAATCTTATAACTAACCTCCCTATATCCCATTTCTACATCTAATCATATCATAAACAAACACACAATCTCAAAGTCACTTTTTACATAAACACTTCACACAAAAGCAATCATCATATAAGAACTCAGTTATGTCTACATATAACAACAACGACGATACCTATAAGTCCTCTGGTCGCCAGGGAGCTCCTTCCAACAACGATGATTCATTCACAAACACCACTAGTGGGTATGGAAATGAGGGTCGCGGCAACACTACCAGCGCCAGAGGCATTGGTGGTACGGGTTCAACATTCGATGATCAGGAAGGTGGTACATATGGAGGATCTTCCACTCAAGAAAACCGTGGTATCAATACTGGAAACTCTGTAAGCTAAACAAACAATCATCATCTCGACAAAGCTAATCGATAGATAGGGAGGATTGAGAGATAGTGAGTTTGGCTCGAGCGACTCGAAGCGTGGAGGAGATCTAGGTGATGAGCGTAATAAGTTCGGTGGTGATCGGGGTTATGGGGGAAATACGGGATCTGGGTTGGGTGATGATTCTTCATCGGGCTTTGGTAATACATCTACTTCTCGCTCTGGCTACGGACAAGATACTTCTACTGGTCTTGGCAACACATCTACATCCCGCTCTGGCTATGGACAAGATACTTCTGCTGGTCTTGGCAACACATCTACTTCTCGATCTGGGTATGGTGATAACACATCATCTGGACTCGGAGATTCCGAGTTTGGTGGAAAGTCCAGTTCCGGTTATGGAGACAATACCTCTTCAGGCCTTGGCAATACCTCCACTTCTCGTTCAGGATACGGAGAAGACAGATCCGCAGGTCTAGACAGCTCTTCTTTCGGTCGGGACAACACAACCACCTCTTCCGGATATGGCGACAAGACCTCTCGCTCCGGAGACAACACATCTGGCGGGCTAGGCGGAAACGCCGACTCATACAACACCAATAAAAGCAGTTCCAGTACCGCCTACGCTGCAGATGATAAATACACCTCTGGTAGCACGGGCTCGAGAGATCATGACAATACTTCTAGTTCCAACACAGGCAAGGGAGGTGATTCTACCATGGGCAAGGTGATGGAGAAGGCGGGTCAGATGCTTCACAAGGATAATTTGGTTCAGAAGGGTGAGGCTAAGCGTGCTGCTGCAGGGAATTGATCTCCTTTTCTTTTTGATTTTGATTTTGATTTTGATTTTGGGCAATGTGGTGGGATGGATGGATGGTTTGATGATTGATTTTTGATTTTTGATTTTTGATATCTGATCTTGTATATTAGTTTGTGTGCTCAGTTGGGCAGATATGATTTAATGACTTAACTTATTCGAATTAACATCTAGCGTTGTATTTTACCTTTAAATTCTTCTATGCCATGAGTTTTGGTTTTGGGGATACATAATACACTATTCGCACGCTCATTCATTCTCCCTACTAGTAATATTGTAGTTCCGAGTGGGAAACACCCTTTTCTTGACCAAGGTTTCTGTTATTTTGTAGGACGCTTGAATACACTACACTGCCAAGTACACAACACATAAAACTTACTTCTATATATTAACGTATAAGATAAATGTATACATATATACAGGCAACTTGTATATATTCCTGGTATTCCGAGTATATCGGTATCAATGCCAATAACAGTACTAGTAAGTCTCTTGATTAGAAATATTAGAGAAGTACCGGCCGGTACTGTACTCGAGTATCTCTACTCGAATATCTCTACTCAAGTATGTAGGTATATAGATAGGTATTGTACTCGAGTAGTAGAAAGATAATATATGGGATAGGATGGATTTAAACTGTAAGGTTACTATACTTATAACTATAACTGCATTTGTGTCTGTATCTGTAACCTGTTAACTATTCGTATATTCCTTACAAGGGTAAGTATTCACTCGCCTAAAGAGTAGTCATTCGCCTAAACCCCTAACCTTACCCCTTCATTTCGTAGTTCTTGTTTTCATACTTTTTCTTGCAGTTGGATATTGATGTTGATGTTGATGTTGATGTTGATAATGATAATGATAATGATAATGATAATGATAGATAGCTTAATAAGAATATGTTATAGAGAGTTTTTGAACATGGATTGAACAATTGTTTCATAGCCTTCAATGTCAAGAGTAGTTTTGAATATTGATAGGAGTGACCGTGTAAAGCTCAGATGAGTATCACATTATATTATTGTTTCATCCAAACCATTACATTTATTTAATATCGTCAATTATACTATTGTTCCAGTGATACTCCAATCGCCTCCTACATTCTTTCATCACATTTACACAATCTTCCACATCCCCTCTACCATTATCACAACCTACTTCTAACCTCTCCCAATCCTCCACTCATACACGGTACATTATCGATCGTTTCCCTCCCAAATAATATTTGATCTCTACCACCCCAAGTACTCCACCATCCTACACACACCGCACTCCTCTCCACATCCATCTCTCCACTCTCCAACACTTCCCAGAATCTCGCTTTACAGTGTTCGCGCATGTAGTTATCCTCGATGGTATTCAAGAGGTCGGCAGATATTGGTAGCCAAGCTTCTAGAACATCGAGAGGAAGATTAGGCAAAGTGTCCAATAATGTGAGCATGAGGATGGCTTGTTCAGAGAGTGGCGCTTGGCTACCTTGTTGACTGGCAGTATCTCTCATATATATCGATTGTGGTAATGGTGATGTAGGCGCGTGAACCGCGCGGTGATGGAGCATTTCTAGGAGAGTTTCTGCTAGCATTGGCTCAGCAGTTGTGAGGGGTGTAGGCGAGGTGGTAATATGTATTAAAGATTTAAATGCGAAACGGAATTGTCTAGGAGATAAGTTGTTGGGGAATGAATTGAAGAGAGCATTGACGTAAGTTGGGATGAATCTGGCCGTCAATTTTATGTTTTGAGGAGCTGACAGTACTGCAAGAACAGCACTATGCGCAGCTTCGAAGATTTCCAAGAAGCCAGGATGAGCTGTTGGGCTGAGGTAAGGAGCTGCCACACCGATAATCAAGCTTTCGTTATCAGGTGGACTAAGGATACTAGTTAAGTGCTCGCAAGTATTAAGGTAGAATAGATCGTGGTTGCGCTGCAACGGGCTAGCTGGAATCTCGCCGGCTTGCGTAGGGTATATTGCCTTGAGAAGCTCTCTTGACTCGAGGGGATAATTAGATAAGATGTCGATAGACGATAAATTGACGAACACATATGCAGAGAAAGCATTTGAGCCAAGTCGAGACGAGATAAAGTGAATGTTTCCAAGGATGATGAGTGTTTCTGAAGCCCCTAATGCAGCAAGACGTTTTGTCGATAGGATGGGATCAACCAACGTCCTTCCCATGATGCCCTGTAGAATCACTACGGTAGCAAACATTGCGCTCTTCAATATTTGCCATAAAACTGGTGCGGTCATTTGAAGAGTTTCAGGAGTCAGAAATGTCGCTTCCTCAGATAAATCAATCTCCGATAACTTGTTCCTCTTCCAGCCTTCTAGAAGTCTACCTGTGAAGGAAAGGAGGTGCTCTCGGATTTCTATTGCTAGTAAAGAGTTACTCATGTTCTCGATCGCATGCGCAATCAGCCTTGATAGTGGCCCCATGGACGAAAGTATAGGGCTTGATGCTTGTTTTTGTAGTTCCAGAAAAGAGGTGGATTTAGACGACCAATCAAATTGATCTCCCGACACTTGTATGATATCCGCATCAATATATTGTAAAAATATACCATCCCGATAGCCCTCCATCGCAGTCACCGTCCTTACCATTATCATAACCAAATCATCATAATTCAGGCCTGCACGAACTCCGTCCGACAACAAGGGAAATGCGTGATTGAGAGATAGTACAATGGATTCTGCAGCGAGAATTCCATCTCTTGTCGGATCTTCCAATGCTAAATTTGCCGCCGTAACTAATGCTCGTTCAAGTGTGCTTCTAAGACTTCCTGAGAGCCCATGCCTCCTTCCGCTTTCCATGCCCAGCAACACTCCTGCAATCACAAGAAGATGCTGCCATCTTGGCGACCTATCATCTGCACCTCTAATCACAGCTCGAGCCCAATCGTCAGAACCAATCCCGCCCCCTTTGCGAGGTTGATATGCATCATATGGTCGTTGTTCGTTATGACCTTCTAATTCATTTTGGTGCACCGTGATGGCGGCGGTGTTGAAGACACTGATAATTCGGAGACATATTCGAAGACCATCCGCATTATTCCATATAGCAGGTGCCGTGAGAAGATGTGACGTGAGAAGACTTATATTCAATGGGTTTGTAAGAGTGGTAAGTAGTGAGGTAGTTGTCCCGAGGATCCTGTCCGTCTGCCCTAGATCCGGCACCCCTTGGTATGCGCGTAACACAGTTGTAAGGAGTCTATCTGCCGGCATATTTATATTTCCTTAAGGACTTCCGCTACAATAATTCATATTATCGTGGTATGCGTATCGTTATTTGATGTTATACTGTCGTAAAAAGTGAATTGCGATGTCTGATGTATTAGTGGTAAGGTTGAAGCTTCACAACCGAGGTATTTCAGCCTCGTGTTGCGCGCCAAATCGAGCTTCACAAGCTTCACAAATTTAGTCGCATCGCAACAATTAGTCCTCATTTTAAACGAACAACCTATAAGTACCTAACCATCATCCTTTTACTATGAGCTACTCGCTCTAATAAAACATGCCAGCTCTCCAGTAAGTCATCACGTCTTGTGAAGAATCAGCAATACTAATCTCATACTCTCGCAGCACTCGCATCGAAACTCCGGCGCCTCTTGACTATTCCACACCACCATTCCCATCACTATATTGGCCTCTTCATGCAAAGCCCGGTGTCCCAAACTACCTATACTATGCTCATGACATATGGCGATTTACTCTTCTATGGACACTCATTGCGTATGGAGTTACTCACATGGCTGTAGCTGTTTATGCTATTGTGATGCAACTGGGAAAGGGGAAAAACGCCTGGCAATATGTTTGGGTTATCCCACTGGTGTACGCTTTATTAGCTGGAATTGAAGCTTTGTTGGCAGGGAGTTTCGTTGGCTTGATGTAAGTACAGATGTTATGATGTCTCACGACCGCTCTATGTACTAATTTTGTCGCTTTTCTAGACTCGGTGCTGTTTACAATGCAGGATACTTTCAAATGTCAACATGGATTCCTTTTATATGGTCACTGATAAACGTCTTGGTTTTGATCATATCTTCATTCTCAATTCAGGGCGGCTTATGAGCTATCAAATGCTACTATGATGGATATATTATGTGGAATATAAAGCAAGAGCAATTTGGACCAGTATTGCAGTCCGAGCCATTCCGAACCATCAGGAGTTCAGGTTTGGATCTGACTCTTTTGGCTCTATTTTTCTGATGATCCTCGCCGGATTACCAGCCACAATGTGGAAATCAGGAACATCCTTCGTCACGACACTTCCAGCACCAATGGTACAACCTCGACCGATGTTTATTCCTGGGCATACTATGACACTACCTCCGAACCACTGGGAAAATGTTAGCGTCGGCGATAGTAATCCATTGGGAGAAATAGGATTAGGTTGCTGAAAGATAAGTAATGTCAGAAATACTTACACAGTCCTCGCCAATTGTTATGGGCGCCCCAAGTTCCGGGCCGTTGGTACCATTGCGAAGGAAAGGGTCTAATGGATGTGTGGCAGCATAGAATGAACAACTTGGACCGATCAGAGTACGAGCTCCTATGGTGATCAGGCAGGTGTCAAGGAATGTGCAATTGAAGTTGATATAGACTCCTTTGCCCAGCCTGTGTAGGATGAGCATTTTCTCGGAGTGTGGCTTTACAATTTGACAACTACCTGAGATTGGTTCCATAGTCTACGTTGACTGGACCATCAACATATGGTTCATCTCCTAAGATTTGGGAATCTTCCTCGTCCGTAGCTCCTGCGGGAGGAAGAGAGGTATGGTCGTCAATGATACTGGTAGATATCAGGTTTTGAACTGCCATTGAAGTAGAAATGAATGCTTACTCTCTCCACAGCTCTACTAGCTTTCGTCTTGAGGCATCACCGGCACTGTTGAATCTTTTGCAAGCATTGTGGCATCTTATGGAAGAATAATTATTAGCTGCAATCAAGAGATTGAACTGTTTCTCCAGTAGAGGATCTAATAGGTAATCCAATCACTTTATATCTCACCTATTTCGCTTTTCAGTGAGCTTTGGCACGAATGCATAATAGAGTTCTCCTCTCAACATTCGAGCTTCATTCTCAACTTCATCAATGCCTTCCATGATCAGATTTTGATGTGTATGTGTCAAGAAGTAGCAGAAGGGTAGACAAGTGAATGAAATATTTGGATCACCAGGAATGATGAAATCTGTCAAGAACTGAAGATTAGTCGAGTATATGATCTTTACTGCCGAGCTTCCATATAAGCCGAGCGCTTCACTTCTACGGAATTGGAGTACAGAAATCATGGTGGGGGTGGCTTGAAGGTGGCTTAGCTGTTGTCATAGAAAAGGAGGATATACAATAGAACTACAACTACTCTATAGGATTATATAACAAGATGTACTCAAGTTATGTATTACATTCACATAGCATTCCGTGCAAATCAGTGTTATATGCGTCTTTGTTCTTGCACGAGTACTATATCCTAGAACTTCTAACAAAAAAGGAAACAAAAACCCCTCGAGCGCTCATGCCACTCTGCAGCGAGGACAATATGAAGACTCGAACCAAGAGTAGGTTGTGAATGAATAAAGAGAACCGCATTTGATTGTCCCCAATCCATTCCTTATAATTTCCGTAATTATCGTTCCACTTTGATTATCAATACAGCATCTCCGTGCTTATTTTATATATTATATTTAGCCCAGCCTGAACAATTTTGAAACGACCATCAAATCAAGCTTTAAGTATCGATTTCACCCATTGCGCTTTTGCGACCAGCCTCTTTGTGACTACTATTATCTTAGCCATGTCTACAGATAACACTACCAATGCGGTTCATGGATCCGTTCAAGGCTCACCGAGGCAATCAAGGAGCACAGCGTCCACACCAGGCGCAACTCAACGACGTGTGTGGGATGTGATTCAGAATGGCGGCGTTGCTCCTCGCGCGCGAGTGGGACCCAATCGAGAACAATATGCGGAGGAACCTAGCATTGACGAAGCCATCACTCAATTCGAGAAGCAATACTATTCCGGACAACCCAAGTCACTTTCCGGAATCGCATTGCGATCATTCCTCGTCGGCATCGTCCTCACAGTTTCCACCTTCAGTACCCTCTACCTTTTCTTCGTCACCGATTCTATCTTCTGGCGCGTTCCCTTCTTTATTTCGTCCCTCGCCATCTTCCACTTCCTCGAGTTTTGGACCACGGCCAGATACAATACACCTGAAGCATCCATTTCCTCCTTCCTCTTCAGCGGCAATGGATCCGCATACAACATTGCACACAGCGCCGCCATCACCGAGTTCCTCATTACTAACACATTCTTCCCCAACGGCTCTACATACACTATTTACGGCTGGCCCTTCCCTCCCTCCATCGCATGGTTCACCCCACTTCAACAAAGCAGCATTCTGATTCTCGGGCTCCTCCTCATCTTCCTCGGCCAAACCATCCGTTCCGTCGCCATGATCCAAGCCGGCAGGAGCTTCAACCACATTGTGCAATATACGAGATCACGTTCGCATACGCTTGTTACCAATGGTCTATACGCATGGTTGCGCCATCCCTCATATTTTGGATTTTTCTGGTGGGGATTGGGTACGCAGTTGGTTTTGGGCAACTTTTATTGTTTTGGGGGGTATGCATTTGTGTTATGGATGTTTTTCAATAGGAGAATAAAGGGCGAGGAGGCTTTGTTGGTCAAGTTCTTTGGGGATGAGTATGTTGAGTATAGGAAGAGGTCATGGGTGGGAATTCCGTTCGTCTAGGTTTAGGTTTACAGAGTAATGCATGCAAATCTCGAGTTTGTTGTTGATTGTGAACAACCGAACTGTATGTATGGTAGTAAACTAGTTTTTGAAAAGACTTGGGCATTTAGAATTGATAGCATTTTCCAGGGAGATTTGTACAAATTTGCGTGACTCTTCATATTGTGAAGGGAAATTGGATAGCATTTCGTTGTTTAAAAAGGTTTAGAACCTCTAGGCAATAGTCTCACTGCTGGTTTTGTTAGTGTAAAATATTGGTACGGCATTGGTTACAGCTAGGCGTCACATTTCCGGTATTTCCGCAAGAGAAAAGTGCAGAATTCCTGTGGGTTTGAGATTCTAGGGCTCAATTAGTTTTCAATATCCTACTTGTTGTCAAAGGTTGAATTAGGCCATGGTTTGAATATCTATTTTCTATCTAGACATTGATGTGAGGTACTATAACATAACCACTAACGTCCTTGTGATATGGCCTGCTTGCTAACACTACCATATTTAGCTTGCCATGCGAAGAAGTAGAGTAATGCAGCGAGAGGTTGCCCAACTAAAGTGAAAGATACCCAAAAGATACAATTCCCAATGATCTTACTATTTATACCATTCATTTTTTCTAATGGCGCTGTGATAGCAATGAGCGGTAGCTGTGCCATCATACCTATAAACGCAACACCTAAAGAGTGTTAGTTAAGAGAACAATAGCCACGAAAATATTCCAAGGCATACCAATAATGTTGTGTGTTGGAACGCCGACCATCAATTCATGTAGGATAGCAGAGAACGTAAATACCGCAAGACTCGCTGAATATGGGCTCCAGCCCCTACCCACGAGAGGAGAGAAAACATGTCGTTTCATAAATTGGTATACCGGCTTGTTCCAAGTCCTCCAGTATGTGCCCACACTAGGCGAGTTCCACCAATCATCGTAGAAATTCCTATCCCCAAAAGTCGTGACCTCTGCGAGAATATTCAGGAAAGATTGGAACAAGGCGAAGAACCCTGCTAACCATATGACTAAAGATATCGTGGATAACTTCATCAATCGTTCGAGTATAGAAGCCAGATCCAGTGATGCCATTTTATCCAGAGAGTTCTGAAGAACAGGAGCTGCGTATTGTGCGCTAGCTACCCACATGAAAATACCCAAACCAAATACTTCTGCCATCCTTTTACCAACAAAAACCCATCTAACCTTGGATGTCCGAGGATATACAGGTTGGTAAACTAATGTTGGAACCCACCAAAAGTATGTCAGATTTTTCAGTGTGATATTCTCCGGGTAAGGACATTTGTTGTATATTTCTGGCAATGCATCTTCCTCTTTGCTCGAGGGGTGGAGATAGGCATGCCGAAGGTCACGGCAGGTGAAGGCATAACTGTAAGTTTTTAGCCAGACAATGATTGCGTGTGCTTCGGTGATTGTTCCAATTAAAGGATGATGTATGAAGAAGTAGACGATCACGGAAGTTATAAGTAGACAAAGCGTTATGTTCAATCCGTGTATCCAAGCTATCACTTTCCAAGTCGAATGGAACTTCTGCTGTTCAGCCTCTGTAGCAATATAGCTACCACCGGGTGTGGCCGTCCCAGCTCTTTTCTTACTTCCTTTCAGCGAAGCTCGTGCTTGTTGCGCGGCGGCGAGTTCGACAACGTATGCGACAAAAAGATGGCATGGAATTATAAAGTAGAGGGCGGCCCCTAGCATAACATCCTGCTTGCGATAATCGTGACATCTCAAACATATCAAAACTCCATACTGTAAAAGACCGTTAGCTATTTTCAACACAAAGCTTCGATGTAGGAAAATCTAAGTCGAAGATCATAGGAGACCAATATTGTTGGAATGTCCAGAAGAATCTAGGCATTCGGACAACCCTTCATAGTCTTCTCCCTACAATTTAAAAGGACCCAATGCCTTATTCAGTTGATAAGATCGATCACTAGGAGAAAGCGAACCTTTCGAATGTTTTCTAGCATCAACCGCAAATTCGAGATCAACAAGACAAGGACCATCAAGTTTCTAAAACCAAGGAAACTCGGTGCCGCATGACTATCATGACTAAGGCATGATGTTCGAGGCTTGGAATGCACAGCGGCAACATGCCTATATTTCTTTTGCGTGTACTTTCGAAAGGAATCGGACGTATGTTGTTGTGTGAGAGGTTTTGGTAAATCCGCAATGCTGATATTGGCCCTGTTCTTTCCATTTGTGCCATTGACATGTGAAATTGTAGATCGTCTGATGGTCGAGGAAATATCTGGCACACTTTCCACGCCAGTTACCGTAGCATTTTCAGAAGTCATCATGGCGAATATTGCATAGAGCCGTAGTTATTTGTGAGCCGCCTGGTATATGAGGATGTACCGAGCGTATGTGTATGCGGAATGATCGAAAGACGATTGTCCAGAGAGATGGAGAGATGGAGAGATATCAAGCAAGGGGAAAGCACAAGGATGTGTGCAGTGTTGCGCAATTACCCGACAAGATGAATAGAAATCTGAAGCAGTGAAAACAGGAGAATCAATTGAGATATTGAATTGAAGGGAAAGAGGAGAAAGGATGTTGAAATATTTACCACAAATAATGATTGTAAATGAAAGTAAATTCCTCACTGGCTAGACCCCTCCCGAGGTCAATCAATTATTGGCTGGGAATGAGGATGATGTCGAGCAGCGGGCCAAATTTTAATATTGCGGTGCTATGCTGTGCTGCAGCTGCAGTGTACGAGATTCCTGAAGTTCGTATCAATCCTTAAATGGATTTGAAGTTGAATATTAAGCCAAGGTAGGTTGTACCTAAGTAGTCTCCAGAAGTTTCGAGGAATCAGACAAAAGGTTAGGATACCTAGGTATGTACCAGAGGTTATCTGTAATGGCATTCCTAACCAGATACTTTTTCTATAAGTGTGATTACTAAGCTACAGCATCGATAAATCATTATTCCGTTCCGTTCAGCAACTGTCGCGAATCCTTGTCAAAGTGTCAAAGTCGCGACCATTCTGAAAGCATGACCTTTTGATCTACTTTTAAGAATCAAGCACATGATCGCAAATTAAATACAACGGACCTCGCCAAAGAAGAGAGTAGTCGTTTGATCAAACTATTGTTTTGGGGAATGATGTGCTGATAAAAATGGCATACGAACAGCGTGAGTATGGAGGCGGCAGGGAAGGAAGAGGAAGAAGAGAAAGAGATGATGGCGGCTCGGGAGAAGGAGGTGGTTATGAAGGGAATTTTGCGAGAGGAAGGGGTCGTCGTAAGTGAAAATCCTCAAATTTTCGAGTCGATTAAGGGGTGGGGTGGAAATTGACATCCCCTTTGGTTTTCATGAAATGTTTAACATACTAATTCTGTACAGGTCCTGTCACTGATTATGCCTCGACTATGGTTCACTGGATGCGTAATCGTCAGCCAAGGTACAAAGGTGGTTACCAAGGTGAAATGGAGAGACCAAGTCCAAGCTACATGATAGATGTGAGTATTCTATGACTGGTCACAGAAGTCAATGTTAGAGCTTTTGGTCTAATTATTCATAGATGCTACCACCATTAGCAAGACTTCATAATGCAGCAGATTCAGTGCCAGCTCGGCACCTACATTCATCACTTAACAAGATTAAACACCCCGTTAATGTGGTAAGATGGACACCAGAAGGTCGTCGATTACTCACAGCCTCCAGTAGTGGAGAATTTACTCTATGGAATGGAGCTGGTTTTAATTTTGAGACAATTATGCAAGCACATGATGTTGCTATTCGAGCTTTGTCTTATTCTCATAGTGATGACTGGTTATTATCAGCTGATCATGATGGAGTGATCAAATACTGGCAACCGAATTTTAACAATGTCAAGGTCATTCAAGGACATGAGGATCCTATAAGAGATCTCGCGTTTAGTCCAAACGACTCAAAGTTCGTCACGGCTTCCGATGACTCTACGCTAAAGATTTTCGATTTTGCTGGCGGTGTTGAGGAATCCGCTCTCTCTGGTCATGGATGGGATGCGAAAAGTGTTGATTGGCATCCGACCAAGGGATTACTTGTTTCTGGATCGAAAGATCATCTTGTCAAATTATGGGACCCACGTACTGGTCGATGTCTGACAACTCTCCATGGACACAAAAACACCATAACGAAAGTCCTATTCGAACCAGTTCGTGGTCAATGTTTAGCCACTTCAGCTCGAGATCAAACCGCACGAGTGTTCGATTTGCGAATGATGCGCGATATATGCTTGCTCAAAGGGCATGAGAAGGACATTTCTACTTTGGCATGGCATCCTATTCATCCTTCCCTTCTGAGTACTGGTGGCGCCGATGGATCTCTCTTCCACTACCTGTTAGACGAGCCAAATAATCCTGCTGGAACGGAACCGTCTATAGCACCTTATGATAGTCCGGACCCTACTACTACTCCGGCTCAAACTCTCTATCCAGCTCATAAACTAACCTACGCTCATGAATTTGCCATCTGGTCACTTGATTGGCACCCTCTTGGTCATATTTTAGCATCAGGTTCCAACGATCGAATTACTCGATTCTGGACACGTGCACGTCCTGGTGATACTGACACATTCCAAGACCGATATCACATTGGTGACTCAGCTGCCGAGGCGCAAGGAACTTATGATCGTCGCGGCGGACGACGTCAACGTCAAGAGGAAGAAGATCAAGAAGCTGAAGACGAAATGGAAGGCTTAGTCGATCAAAAAATGCCCGCAAAGTTACCTGGCTTCGCCACAGGAATACCCGGTCTACCATTACCAGGTATGGGCGTCATCCCTGGGATGAATCGTGTTCCCCCACCACCTCCCATGCTCAGTGGGGGCAATCTCCCACCTCCACCTTTACCGGGAAATATAGATCCAAATACTCTAGCAATGATGATCAAAGCCGGTTTGCCTCCTCCAGGAGCAACAGGCATGCCACCTCCGCCACCAATACCTCCACCAAATTTTCAACTCCCACATGGTTTCGTTCCTCCACCTCCTCCTGGTATGCCAATACCTGGGCTGGAAAATACCGATTCATTGAATAACGGAGGTGGTGGTGGTATCAGGAAACGAGGACCGTTACCTAGTCAGGAAGAAAGTTTACAGGCGATGCAGAGACAGGGGAAATTTAGGACACCACGGCAGTAAGTCGTTGGGGCTAGTAGGGGAGAGCATCGGATTGTATACCAGAATATAGCATTTTCAGGTGGTTTGAAGCATTTGGCGTTCAGGCGGATTGTAATGTAGTTTTATTGAGGATTCTCAAATTGTCTTTATTCATGTATGTGCACATGTAGAAACCTCTGGTAGAAGTTTGAATTTACTTGGTGATTGAAGAACACTAATGCTATGGTATATAAATTGCAACACAATGTTTGAGGAAAAAGAAACTATAATGTAAAAAGACAAGCAAACGCCATGCTATGTGCCCAAAACGCTGTGTTACTGTAATATGCTGCAAATCCCCGCCCATTACACGCAAAAAGCGATTCCCAAATATGATAAAAATCAAGAAGAATTTCTCGGGCTCGTCCTTGTAGGTGCTTGAGCTTGTTTACCCTGACCACCCTTCGCAAACGCCTTCTGTCTATCCGAGTAGTCTTTGATCACTAGAGAACATATCATATCATCACATAATTTCTTCCTCCTCTGCACCGGCAACTTGGTCATAAATTCCAACCCACTAGCCCTCTCCACCATCTCAACCGGTACCTCGAAATCTGTCAACGGCTTCTCGTTTGGAATCCTCGCGTTGGGCAGTACGAATGCACCGACTGCTACGGGACCCGCTGTGGTACCATCTTCGGCAAATATGACCTTGTAGAAATGTGTCGGTACAGCGATATTTGGCGGATTCCCAATAACTTCATAGGTAACCCTCCATTTCCCATCTGCCGGATCCCGTTTCGGTAAATATAAAGGACCAGTCACAACCCTCACACTCGGATATCGCGTCGTGAGTCTGCGGCAGAAATCTTCAAAATGCGCCCAGTAATCGCGGTTGAAACCCTCTCCTACTTGCGGACACATGTTTGTGAGGAAAAAGGTATCGTTCATGGCATCTTGACTCCATTTTGCGTCTGCGGCGGGGACTTGATGACCGCGATCGTAGCCAGAGCGAAAATAATCTTTTAATTTGCCGCGGAATTTTTCGGGCACAGATGGATCTTCAACAAAGTAGGAGTGTTTGCGATCGCCATTTGACAGGGCGAGAGATGCGGGTGTTATGTGTTCTGCGACCCATGAAGGATTTCGAAGTCTTCGATCAAAGGATGATACTAAAGCGTTTCGTGTTGCAAGATCTGCGACAGGACCGGGAAACCCATATTGAAAGAGACCTGCGGGGTCAACTGGTGCTATTATATCTTTGATTGTCGTTTTACCGCCTGGTATGGGTACTGGCGAATGCGCGGAAGAAGTAGATGATGCTATGGCAGCTGTTGAGATTGCTGCTGCTTGAAGTTTCTTTTCTGATCGTGTGGAATACATGGCGGCGGTTATACCGGCACCAGTGGCTGCAGAAACACCTGCGATGATTGCGAGAGTAGTTTTGGACATGACAGTGGGGATTCGAGCTCGACGGGAGCTCGCACCGGGTGGGATAGGATGGGTATCTATGAGATGGAGAGTGTTTAGTGTGTGAGTCTATGATCACGGTGTTGATAATTGCGCGTGAGCTCTTTTTTTAGACCTAAGTTTCGTGTTGATGTCAGTTGTACTTTCTCCAAGTCTCGGATAAATTTGGTTAATCCGGGGGTTTGCACCAAATTGAATATTGGTGGTGCTCAGCCATCGTATATGACAACAACGACAAGTGATTGAAAATTATGATGTCTGTGAAAAGCCATGCAATTTATTCGGTCTGTCCCCTTTACTCCTTCTAAGCTATGTTATGCTAAAAGCAACGGATTTAAAAAAATTATTTACAAGTTGATCGTTTAAGGCATTCTACAAGTTATCCTTCCGCGTATGCAATTTAGGATTGGCCCCGAGGTGACAATTCCCCCCTAATCCTTCGATACCCGCAACCACAAGATCATATTCACTTCCAACAGTGAGGCCCTCGATGTTCAATGACTTTTCATCGTACTCCTCACTGAATGACGGCCACGTGGGTTGTGTTCTATGATCAATATAAGTACGATTTTATGAAATTGGATATCAGGGAAGTTTTTGGACTTACGCTCCCAAGCCTGGAATCTCAACGTCTCCCCCATCAGAAAATTTGATTGTGGAAGAGTATGCTCGCTCCTCAGCGTGGATCATTTCAAAATCCTCTTGTATCGCCCCCATGAAGTATAGAGCCGCCGGTCTAGTGATTTCAGACACAAATCGTGCAACAGGGAAGTTGCAGTTGAAATCCATAACCAAGGTCGATTCGTCAATTTTGAGCCAACCCATTTGGTGGCCAAAATCGCCGTTCAGGATGGTCATTTCGTGCTTTTTGGCAACTTCTACGCAATGGCTCGTGTAAAAAGGCTCCTGGAGGTAGATCGAGAGTTTTTTCCCTTGATGAAAACTCTCCCATAATTGCCGAATTGCCAACAAACTTGCATGTTGAACCTGACACTTATCTCTTATGCCAACATTGGTCTCTGTAAATGCAACGACAGAGATTGCGCCAGTTCCAAAAGCAACGATTTTGTCAAACTTTCCATCTCGGCACAAATTGGTAAACAGGTCGTCAAGTCGCTCACGGAGCTCACTTGCGTTGAACTTCTTGATAATCTCTTGGAATTGGTTCTCAACTCTCACTGGGGTAAGTTTCTTCAAAGGCTCCTCAACCATTCCCTCTCTAAGGGTATGGTCCATAGAAAGTTTAGCGCATCTATGATTCAAGATACTAAAAGATATTAGTAAAAGATTTTTGAAAGATATAGTGAACGTACTCAAATGGCATTGTTTCTGGTCGGCCGGGTCCTGTCTTGCCTAATAGATTTACTTTGGCAGCTGCTTTCCGACAATCGTATATCGTATGATACAGGTCTCTTCCAAAAGTGAATGGTGGTGGAAAGCAGTGATAGAAAAAGTTGGCTCTTTGAACCACCCGCTCTTCTCTATCTTTCTTTGACATCGACCTGAGGACTTTCCAATCTAGATGCGATTTAAATAAACCATTTATGTCTGGTTGGGGGTTTTTTTCACCCTCCCAAACCAGAAGATGTTGTGATATAGGATGTTTCTCTTTTGGTTTTTCGGATTTGGTCATATTGCCGGTATTTAGAGTCGAGGAGGATTCGGACATATTGCCGGTATTCAAGGTCGATTGGAACAGTGACGGTGGTGGAGGTAAGTGCTGATGGGCGAGTATCTTTGAATATCTGAGATTTATTTGAACAGTCGCGGCACAAGTGTAAGTTGAAGCTGGATATTGAGGGTAGATTCTAAACTTTGGAGTTGAGCGATAAGAAGGATGTTTATCAGAATGTGCTTGTGTGATCTTCAGCCGAATGATGAAGATAGGTTGAATAATATGGAGCCGAATAAGGATGTGGGATGTTTGCAGAATATGTGAGTTCAGGTTGAATAACGGTGGTAATTTCTTTGAGTTGGTGTTGAACGATGAAGGTAGAATGTATGAAATGAAGTTGTGATGTTTGGTGAAGGAACAAGTAAGTCCAGAGGGGGCACTCTGGATCTATTTAAGCACATCTTGAGCTAGGTCCTGACTCTTCGAGTCACCTACGTGGTTAAATGCCAAATTTATTTCACAGAAATAATGTATTTCCAACTTGAAGTCGAATCATAACTCTTGAGATATACCACTTTTGAATATTCTCGAATCACCCAAACAGTGTTTTGCCAGATGTATTTCATAGAAATAATATATTTCCGAATCGACTCACAATTCAGCAATAAACCAAATTTATTTTTGCAGAAATCATACATTTCCGAGTTGAGTCACGAATCGGCGACGCAACTCACTTACCACGTGATTTCAGTAAGTACTACACTGAACCATTCATCAGATGATGGTCTTGAGATGGAAAGCTCAAAGCTTGGATCTAGTTTGGATATTGAAGGACTATTCTCCCAAGACTATTATATAGAAACCCCTTAAGTCTCAAATTAGCTAGGACTCTAAGCGATTATTGTTCTAGAATAATAGACGAATATCTCTCCCAATGCCTAAGGTTTGCTAGAACTTCAATACATCCTTCTCTGGTATAATTTTCAGGCTTCCACTCAACTTGACTATCGTTGTAGAATACTTGTCTAATATGTATTAAATGTCTATACTCGGCTTGGAGAATAGACAACTAACCTTCTGGGACACTGGACAATACATCTTAATTGTGTGGTTTTGGTTTTGAATATAGAGGACAGACATTGAAGTAGCGAGCATTCTTCAAATTAATAGATTTAGACATTCGAGCATCATTTTTCAAACTGTTTTTAGACACTCAAGCACCGTTGTCGAACCTAGATTTAGATATTGAAGATATCGATATGTAAGAAGAATTATCATCTATATATAATGAACTGGACTAGCGAAGGTGATTACTATCCGAATTGGATTTATTAATTTTGAGAAATCGAATGCTTAGATATGAATATTACGAGTATATATTAGAAAGTGATGCCCTATAGTGTGGTGGAAGTAGTAGTATTATTGACACTATTAAGAAAGGTTGTACTGATAAAGTTAAGCTCTCTTTTTGCCTAAGATTATCACTTTAATGAGGAAATCACTTAATATCTCTACTAGTTATATGCTTATATATATATAACTCCTTTTTAACCTCAACTTTCAATATTCCTTTATTGAAATTATTCTTTTATGAATTCCACTCGCATTCTCTTTAATTATACTACTAGCCCTAACATTTTATAAAACCTTTCGAATATAATCCTCTTATATAGTTTTGTTATTCTATCAACTACTATATTAATAATATTAATATAACTAACGAAGACTTTTCATTTTTCTGTTAAATCTCTAATAAAATAATAGTATATATCAATATACTTGAACCTTTTATA